CAGAGAGAGAGAGAGGACAACTCAGAGAGAGAGGACGACTCAGAGAGAGAGAGGGCGACTCAGAGAGAGAGAAATAACGACTCAGAGAGAGAGAGGACGACTCAGAGAGAGAGAGGACGACTCAGAGAGAGAGGACGACTCAGAGGGAGAGAGAGGGCGACTCAGAGAGAGAGGACGACTCAGAGAGAAAGGACGACTCAAAGAGAAAGGACGACTCAGAGAGAGAGGACGACTCAGAGAGAGAGGACGACTCAGAGAGAAAGGACGACTCAGAGAGAGAGAGGACGACTTAGAGAGAGGGCGACTCAGAGAGACAGGACGACTCAGAGAGAGAGGACGACTCAGAGAGAGAGGACGACTCAGAGAGAGAGAGAAAGAGAGGACGACTCAGAGAGAGAGAGGACGACTCAGAGAGAGAGAGAGGACGACTCAGAGGAAGAGAGGGGACGACTCAAGAGAGAGAGGACGACTCAGAGAGAGAGGACGACTCAGAGGGAGAGAGAGAGGACGACTTAGAGAGAGAGGACGACTCAGAGAGAGAGGACGACTCAGAGAGAGAGAGGACGACTCAGAGAGAGAGAGGAGGAGGAGGAGCCACGGACGAGCTGGAAGGCAGTAGGAGCCACGCAGGGGGTAACGAGTCGTCGCCACCAACAATCCCTCCCCCCCAAGTTCTGCGGTCCTCTCATCCTTAAGGTGTTTCCAGCCCATTGGCTGAGTCCTCTCACGCGAGACCGCTGGGGGCGTGGAGCGGTGGCGCAGTGCTTAGCTCACCGCCAGTGAGGGGGGTGGGGTGGCACGTGCCCCCCCCCAATGATCCGATCGAAATCTTTAATTTCGATCGGATCATTGGGGTTTATTAGTAATAAATCGGCATTTTGCGACCCCCACTGCCACTGTGTAGCATCTTATTATGTGCCAGGGACTCTATGCGATGATGGGACAATAGTCTGAGTCCATAATTGGCAATAAGTAACGGCAAAGCAGTTGTAAGTGACTCACAGAATTGTGCGCAGTTGCGTCTACAGTGCACACGACTTCTCTGAAGGCATCAACAGCTGCAGCGAGCGCGATGCCGATCACACGACGCGGTTCGAATTCGACCCCCGATCGACGGCTGCGCCATCGCCGCACACGCGTCGAACAAGAAGCAAGGTAGAAGTCCTTACTTACTAACAACTCCTCTATCATTTTTCATTGCTGGAGGGGGGGGGCAACTCGTAGCTTTGGCCACCAGAGAGGGAGTGAGGGGGAGCAAGGCACCCCCCCCCACGCCTTCCCCCAGCGCTAAGTTACTCTACTGACAGGCCATCATCCAGCAGTGGATTGCCACGTGGTCGACATTGAGCGGCGTTCGAGACCCTCCCCTTCCTGCGTCTTCTGCGAGAGCACTCGGGCAAAGGCGATCGGAAGAAGCAGAAGCAGAACTCCGGGGTGACCCCCGGAGTTCGCGTGCCTGGTGGTTTATTCTCCTGGGCGAGATCAGCGAGGTACATGTGTATGTTGAACTTCTTTTGCACCGTACATCGCCAACCATGCTCATCGCAGGAGCGGGAGAAGGACAACAAACTCAACACAACAAAATCAGTTCTAAAGAAATTAGTTTGCCAATCTAGATGATGATTTAAAAGTGCATAGCTCCAGTGACTTCATAACATCGGAAAGAAGAGCGTTCCAGACGGCCGCAGAAGCGCGTCTGAAAGCGCCCCGCGATGCGGTGACAATCGTCGTCTTCCCTGAAGACGGAAGCTTGTGTTGCCTCCGAAACGTCGTGATTTTTATTTTATTTTACTTTCATTAATTTTCATTTTTTACCTACGTGACTTTACCGAAAAAACCTAAGAATATGAATCCTTGCAGTCACGAAAGCTTCAAATCTAGAATTAATCGTCGTCTTTTTGTCCGATGGCTCGCAGCCCAAAAGCCGCTACCGCTGCTGCTGCGAGTGTGACCACCGGAGTTCGCGTGCCTGGTGGTTTGTGCTCCTGGACGAGACCAGCGAGGGTGTTGTGGTTCATTGGTGGCAAGCGTCTTCTTGGTTCTTTCGGTAAAGTCACGTAGAATGGAAATAAATAAAATAATAAAAATAAAACATAATAAAATAATTCTCACGACGTTTCGGCCACAACGCAAGCAGCCGTCCTCAGGTGGAGAGCAGGTCTGTCAGACTCTGTCTACTCGACAGACCTGTTCTCCACCTGAGGACGGTTGCTTGCGTTGTGGACGAAACTTCGTGAGAATTATTTCATGATGTTTTATTTTTATTATTTTAATATTTCCATTCTACGTGACTTTACCGAAAGAACCAAGAAGATGAATCCCTGCAGTCACGAAAGCTTTAAATCGAAATTGTGGCAAGCGCTTGGCGTGCGCAGCGAGCGCGACACCTCGTTAGAACCACGTGTTCGTTCGGCAACTGGAAGCCAATGCAACTCGGCTCGCACTGGACGGACACGGTCGCATCTCGCAGTGCCCGTCACGACACGTGCCAGAGAATGTTGTACACACCAATGCAGATTGGCGTGGGAGTGGAGGGGGAGGTACAGGATGAGGAGGCCGTGGTAATGATGATGATGTCCCCCAGTGATGAGGGTTACACGCAAGTACTCGTTCAGGGCTGAGTCGACCTAGGGGAGGCCCAGAACCGATTCAGATAATTGTCACTGGTATTGGCCGTGAACGGGAATCGAACCCGGGTCGCTGGGTTCATAGCGCAGCACGCTAACCGCTACACTCCCGCTCCCCACGATTCACACACACACCCGCACACACACAGACACAGACTGCTCACACACACACAGACACAGACACACACACTGACTGCTCACACACGCACACACACAGACACACACACTGACTGCTCACACACGCACACACACAGACACACACACACACTGACCGCACACGGATTCACTCACGCACACACACGCACACACACACCCACACTGACTGCTCACACACGCACACACACAGACACACAGACACACACACTGACCGCACACGGATTCACTGACGCACACACACGCACACACACACACTGTGCTCACACACGCACACACAGACACACAGACACACACACTGACCGCTCACCGATTCATTCACGCACACACACGCACACACACACACTGACTGCTCACACACGCACACACACAGACACACAGACACACACCCCACACTGACCGCACACGGATTCACTCACGCACACACACACACCCACACTGATTGCTCACACACGCACACACACAGACACACAGACACACACACACTGACTGCTCACACACGCACACACACAGACACACAGACACACACACCCACACTGACCGCACACGGATTCACTCACGCACACACACAGACACACAGACACACACACACTGACTGCTCACACACACACAGACACACACACCCACACTGACCGCACACGGATTCACTCACGCCGCTCAGGTCCAACACGAGCAGGCGATCGCAGTCGTCGTGCGGGTAGCGAGGAGGGCGAGCGCCTCGCGTGAATTCTCATCGTGTTGTCGACAGGAGCTCGAGATGGGGGCGACTTTCGGCGCGAGCGGAGCTGGAGTCGAGTCCCAAGCTCACACCATCGCACACTATTATTTTATTATTGCTTCGGTCTTGCTACACAACAATAATAAATGAGAAACACAAAATCTGGAGAATGTTGGAACGCTCGGAGTGGCGGGTGTTGTTTTGTTCCACTCACAGGAGACTCTCTCAGTGGAGAGAGAGAAAGAGAGAGAGGAGTGATGGAGGGAGGGAGGAGCACCACGTCTCGCTCGAAACATTCACAGCAGTTGCAGCATCGGTGGACCGAGAAGTTCGCCTCCAGTTGAGTGCGACGCACAAGGCGATAGAAAGCGAGTGGCGTGTACATCCTTGCTTCACTCGTTCGTGTGCGCACACACCGTACATACACACACCACACACACACACCACACACTACACACACACGCCACACACACCGCACACACACACACACCACACACACTCGCTCCACACACTATCCACACACACTCCACACACACCACACACACACCACACACTCCACACACACACACACCACACACGCCACACACACTACACACACACACTCCACACACACACACCGCACACACCACACACACACCACACACACTCGCTCCACACACACACTCCACACACACTATCCACACACACACTCCACACACACACACACCACACACACTCCACAAACACACACTCTCCACACACTCCACACACACACTATCCACACACACACATTAAACACACACTATCCACACACCCCACACACTCCACACACACACTATCCACACACACACACTCCACACCACGAAACCACACACACACTTTACACGCGGAGAAAAGACAAAGATCCCCCGTATAGCCTTTAACAGACTGTTGGGGCAAGCGAGTAGCAGCACACGAGGGGGTGGGTGGCCAGCCCACGCCCGACCGCCTTCGTCTCCCCAGTGGCGATGTTTACTACACACCGCACCATGTACTCATTTGCGGCTGAGCCCCAGGATCGGTTCAGATAATCGTCACCGGTGTTTACCGTGAACGGGGACGCGAACTCGCTTCGTTGGGTTCGGAGCTCAGCGTGGTGCTCACCGTTGCACTCCCGCTCCCCAAGACAAAGATCCCCCGTATAGCCTTTACCAGACTGTTGGGGAAAGTGCTGCGACAGCGAGTAGCACCAAATGAAAGCCGCCACGGAAAGACGAGCGGTTAGTGTGACCAACACCACGCCATTTGCCTTCCCCAGGGCTGATTTTTTCCCAAAATTTTAAACACACCAAGAACTAATTTAAGGCTGAATCGACCTAGGGGAGGGAGGAGCCCCTGCACCGGTTACAGATATTCGCCACGGATGTTGGGCCGTGAGAGGGAGGGGGGGGGTCGAAATCGCGGTCGCTGGCATCGCAGCAACTTGCGCTAACCGCTGCGCAACCGCTCCTCACTCTACAACGCACCCACTGCCCCCAACTCACCGAGCGCGAACTCCAGATGCGGTCTCAGCAGTGGTCGTACTCTCTGCCCTCGCCGCACTCCGCCTCCCTTCTTCACGAGGGTCCTCAACCCCCCGTACTCCATCCCCGCGCGCAGCAGCTGCATCTGCTGCCGCAGCTGCTGCTGTAGCTGCTGCTGCATCAGCTGCTGCTGCTGCTGCGGCCGCATTTGCAGCCCGAGGCGTGCGGCCGAAGCCCCCACGAGAAGCGACCTCAGACCCGGCGGAGGCCTCGCCCGAACCGTCGAGACCATCGCCGCCGAGGCGCGAGACGGTGGCGCGCTGGACAGCGCTACCGCCACCGCCACCAGCGCCACGGCCACGGCCTGTCAGCGGCGTCATTGGCGTCGTCATTGGCGGCCGCGGTCTGCGGGACGATCTGCTGCCCGCAGCCGTCGTGGGTGGTGAGTGAGTTGGCGAGTCGTTGACTCTCATCGGGTGGTGAGGAATGAATGGGGGGGGGGGGGGTGGGGGGGCTATAGGGTTGGGATTGGTGGTGGTTGGGGAGGGAGGTTGTGAGGGTTGGTGGTGGTGAGGAGTAGAAGTGTGTGCGTGTGTGTGTGTGTGGTTGACGCACCAATGTGCCACACTGAGAGAGAGAGAGCCGCAGTGCAAGCGGGAACACGCAGCAGAAGCACCACCACCACCTCCGCCACTCCAACGCTCACACTCTCAGTCAATCGCGCTGCCCTTTATATGGGACCGGGGTCCGGTGGGTGGGAGAGGGATGGAGCCAGCGAGGGGGAGTGGGGTGGTGCCATTGCATGGGAGAGAATGAGGGGGTGGAGGAGGAGAGGGAGGGAGAGGGCAGACTGTGGTCGAAGGATCTCTCAGAGTCCGAACGCTATAGCCCTCCTCCTCCTGTTGTTGTTGTGGTTGTGGTTGTTGTTGTTGATCTCCATCCACTGCTGGATGAGGGGCTTCCCCGCGGTGCGTCCGTCATGCAGGAGGCAGGGGAGGGATGCGATGATACGCAAGGCGAAAGAGGAGGCGGCGAAGGGGGGGGGTATGGCACACAGGTGTCATACACATATTCTTAGGTTTTTTCGGTAAAGTCACGTAGGTAAAAATGTAAAATTAAAATTAATAACAAAGGTTCAGTCATTTGTTATGTCGTCTATTCGTAGTCTCAAGCCGCACCTTACCATAATAATGAAAAGTGTGCCGTTCCTGGCCCCCCCCCCTCAACCATTATATATACGGAGTGGTATCTCTTGTAATCTCTCATTTACTTGATACAGCTGTCGGGCTGTGACGGTTCCACCTGAAGACGGAAGCTTGTGTTGCCTCCGAAACGTCGTGATTTCCATTTTTATTTTACTTTTATTAATTTTAATTTCAATTTTTTACCTACGTGACTTTACCGAAAAAAACCTAAAAATATGAATCCTTGCAGTCACGAAAGCTTCAAATCTAGGTGTCATACACGTTTTTAGCTGCGTAATGTTATACACGTGTCCACGTACGGACCTGTACACGTGTCCACGTACGGCCCCTGTACACGTGTCCACGTACGGCCCCTGTACACGTGTCCACGTACGGCCCCTGTACACGTGTCCACGTACGGCCCCTGTACACGTGTCCACGTACGGACCTGTACACGTGTCCACGTACGGCCCCTGTACATGTGTCCACGTACGACTTTGTACACGTGTCCACGTACGGCCCCTGTTCGCGTGTCCGCGGGGGGGTGAGCGGGGCTGGTGTTGAGTGAATTTCTCTGTTGAGTGAATCCCACGAGACGCCTTGATGGGAGAATGCATTATCGATCTCTCTCACACACACACACTGGCGTACACACACACACACACTGGCATACACAACAACAACCGCCATTCGCCACTAAGTGGCGGTGACGCGTCCACTGCGCTTTGTGCCAGGCTAGGTGCACGTTGAGGCCACGTGAAGTGTCGAACGCCCGCTGGCACGAGGTCACGGGGCAGACTCAGGTGCCACGGGTCGACTGACTGAGATGACTGGCTGATGCACCACCTGTGCCCCCTACTGTACCAACTTGCTGTGCTTTAGCTATCCGGCGCTCCGCTCGTTGTTTTGAGCGTCGCTCCTCCGCCCTCCGTTGTTGTTGGAGGGCGACTGCCTCCAACTGCCCAGTAGCAGCGTCCTTCACGAGCCTCCTCCACAAAGACCGATCTCCACATCATCCTGTACCACATCACTCCATCTCTTCTCTAGCCTGCGCCGCGCCTGTTTAGCCACCTCGATCCGGCCGAACAAAAGCTGTTTAGGCATGCGGGCTACATGACCCATCCAACGGAGCCTTGCCTGCGGAGCTCACCGATGGGACTTTGTCCAGATCTTTCAAGGATTTGTGAGCTCCTCAAACAATCCCGCCTGGTTAAACCCAGGATGGATCATAGGCAGGCCAGCCTAAATGTCCACTGGCGTAGAGAAGTGAGGGCACGACTGCAGCTTCCACACAGCGTACACACACACTGGTGTACACACACACACTCTGGCATACACACACACTGGCGTACACATACACTCACTCTGGCATGCACACACACTCACTCTGGCATACACACACACTCACTCTGGCGTACACACACACTCACTCTGGCGTACACACACACACTCACGCGTATACACACACACACTCACATACACACACACTCACTCTGGCGTATACAGACACACTCACTCTGGCGTACACACACGTGTACACACACACCGGTGTACACACACACACACCGGTGTACACACACACACACACACCGGTGTACACACACTCACTGGCGTACACACACACATGTACACACACACTGGCCTACACACACACACTGTGGCGTACACACACACACTGTGTGTGCCTTCACAGACTATTAGCGAGTACCTATGAAGGCCGGCACTGCGCAAGAGGAGTGGGTGACCGCCTTTGTCTCCCCCGTGGCGATCTTTACGCATCGCACCCGGTACTCATTTGAGGCTGAAGTCGTCCCAAAGGACCGGTTCAGATAATCGTCACTGGCGTTGGCCGCGCACTCGGGTCGCCGGGTTCGTAGCGCAGCGCGCGAACCGCGACGCCACCGCTCCCCAAAGACAAAGATCCCCTGCATAGCCTAAGTATACTGTTGGGGCAAGTGCTATTAGCGAGCACCTATGAAGGCCGGCGCGGCACACGAGGGGGTGGGCGGCCAGCACCACGCTCGGCCGCCTTTGTCTCCCCAGTGGTGATATTTTTACGCACTGCACCAGGTACTCATTTGAGGCTGAGTCGACCTAGGGGAGGCCCTGGACCGGTTCAGATTATCGCCACTGGGTGTTCGCCGTGCACGGGAATCGAACTGGGGTGGCCGGGTTCGTAGCGCAGCGTGCTAACCGCTACGCCACCGCTCCTCACATGCACACACGCGCACCGGCATAAATATAAAGACCTCCCGTATAGCCTTCAGCAAGACTGTTGGGGCAAGTGCAGTTGGCAGCATCTCTCCTGTGAAACCGGCACGACGCACGCGTGCGGGCGGGTGGGTGTCCACAACCACCTCCGACCGTCCACCCAGCGCTGATGCGGTTGTATTCTTCTTCGAAGGCTGCGGAGTCGACTTACAAAGGGAGGGTGAGTTACCGGATCGGACAAATTGCCTCCCATATTGGCCGTGAGCGGGAATGCGAACTCTGGGGTTCGTAGCGCAGCGCGCTAAGCACTGCGCCACCGCTCGCTCCGTGACGCGCACAAAGATAAAAGATCCCCCGCGTAGCCTTAACAGACTGTTGGGGCAAGTGCTGTTTGCGAGCAACCTATGAAGGCCGGCACGGCACACGAGGGGGTGGGTGGCCGGCACCACGCCCGGCCGCCTTTGTCTCCCCAGTGGCGATGTTTACACATCGCACCAGGTGCACATTTTTGAGGCTCAGTCGACCTAGGGGAGGCCCAGGACAGGTTCAGATAACCGTCATTAGCGATGTGGCCAGGTTCGTGGTCCAGCGCGCTAGCAACTGCACTACCGCTCCCTCCCACCATGGCATACCCACACACACAGATTCGTACACACACACAGATTCGTACACACACACACAGATTCGTACACACACACATACAGATTCGTACACACACACATACAGATGCGTACACACATACAGATTCGTACACACACACAGATAATCGTACACACACAGATTAGTACACACACAGATTCGTACACACAGACATATTCGTACACACACAGATTCGTACACACAGATAATCGTACACACACACACAGATTTGTACACACACACAGATTCGTACACACACACAGATTCGTACACACACACAGATAATCGTACACACAGACACGCACGACCGCGTTAAATACAAATGCAGTTATCGTGCAGTGTGGACGGCTCTCTCTGCTGGAAAGGAGGTCACGGAACAGACCCTGGTGCCACGGGGTTGGCTTACCGAGATGGCTGGCAGATGCATACATCCATACGAATGATAAGACTCGGACAGAGCAGAGGGCCGCGGTGTCTAGGAGATGTTAACTCCCTCGTCTGGTATACAGGAGGTTGTGGGTTCGATCACGACCCTGGCGTCTGCTGTATATTTGGAGTTTTTGTGTCTCTCTCGCATCATCATCAAGGTGGCTAGGAGATGTTAACTCCCTCGCCCGGTATACAGGAGGTCGTGGATCCGATCACGACCCTGGCGCCTGCTGCTGTATATTTGGAGTTTGCGTGTCTCTCTCTCTCTCTCAGAATCATCACGGTGGCTAGGAGATGTTAACTACCTCGCCTGGTATACAGGTGGTCGTGGGTCCGATCACGACCCTGACGTCTGCTGTATATTTGGAGTTTGCGTGTCTCTCTCTCTCATCATCATCATCACGGTAGCTAGGAGATGTTAACTACCTCGCCTGGTCTACAGGAGGTCGTGGGTCCGATCACGACACTGGCGTCTGCTGTATATTTGGAGTTTTCGTGTCTCTCTCTCTCTCTCTCATCATCATCACGGTGGCTAGGAGATGTTAACTCCCTCGCCTGGTATACAGGAGGTTGTGGGTCCGATCACGACCCTGGCGCCTTCTGTATATTTGAAGTTTGCGTGTCTCTCTCTCTCTCATCATCATCACGGTGGCTAGGAGATGTTAACTACCTCGCCTGGTATACAGGAGGTCGTGGGTCCGATCACGACCCTGACGCCTGCTGTATATTTGGAGTTTTCGTGTCTCTCTCTCTCATCGTCACGGTGGCGAGGAGATGTTAACTACCTCGCCTGGTGTGCAGGAGGTCGTGGGTTCGATCACGAGCCTGGCGCCTGCTGCTGTACATTTTTGGAGTTTGCGTCTCGCTCCCCGTGGTCGCGTGGTTTTTTTTTCTCCGGGTCCTCCGGTTTTCTCTTCCCACATTTGGAATCAACATTAACGCGTTGAGAATGTTTCCAATGAGATGAGCTACCTCGTTGAGCTGTCATCTGTGGCCAAGTCGTTCCTGAAAACGAACTACGTAG